GGGCAACCTCAGTTCAAGCCCTACTAAAATCTATATCCCTCTCTACAGATATTTTTGTTTTTTCTGGTGTTAAAAGAATGTTGAGGGACTGGCTCTACAAATTGGATAATGACCAGGACTTATCCTCAATCCACTCTTCAAATTTCTCTCAGTGGTACCATCTGCTGAAAACAAACCACTCAAGGGTGCAATATTTACAAACACTTACTTTTCCCTCCTTGAGAACCGCATTCACAGAACTCCGTTATCAAACCATGCCAACTGCTGTCTTAGACGGCAGGTACATGAATGTACCTAAGCATCTGAGGCTGTGTATTTGCGGAGCAGGTGAGATAGAGGATGTTGTCCACTATTTACTTAATTGCCAGCTCTATCAAAACCCCAGAAAAAAATTCCTGGGTAACATTTTGGCTGCTCTACAGGACAAAAGCCCCCAGACAAAGGTGGTCAGGTTGCTTTTGGATTGTGACCCATATATCACTTACAGAACAGCACTGTTAGCAAAAGCGGCCAGAAACATTCGCGCTAATTCCCTGAGAGCCATTGCAATCAATTGTGCTGGAGACTCCCAGATATGAACAGTCTCTTATTATTTTATATCTCTGTGTTTTTATTCTGATTTTATTCGATTATATTGTATTTTAAACAATTGTGACGGCTTTTAGCTAATACAATAAACTTAAACTTGGAAATCTTAAACAGCAGGGGAACCAACAGACAACCTTCTCTTATCCCAGTCCAAATAGCCACCTTTTATGTGTGGAGTAGTTGTGTGTTTGTGCAACTGGGCTTCTTGCTTCTCTTCCTTTTGCACTAGAAACAACTTTCAGTCTATCCTACCCTAGTCCTCCTTTTTGTGTGTGCATGTGGAAGTTCCACTGTGCTCAGAGACCTTGCTGTTTAGTTGTATAGTTTTGGAATAAACTATTTTGTACTGTTTGGAACAAACAGTAATATTGCACCATTTAAATTAATTTAATTTAATTTAGATTAGACATATTAAATAGTTTAAAAGAAATGCATAAATAATTTAATTTTGAAATCTTCCACTAAAATAATGTTCAGTATCACAACAGCAGTTTCAAAATCTAAAGAATCTTATTTGCTTTAACTAATAGTTGATTTTAAAAAAATTGTATGCTGCCTTGGGTCCCCACTAGGGGAGGAAAATGGAATAAAAATAAAATAAATTAAGACAGTGCTAGGACAAATTATTGTTGTTTTTAAAAGGGTGAGTAAATAAAAAGTAGTTACACTTTTCCATTTTTACCCATTGGACTCCAGAACCTTTACATCTGTTACATATTCATTTCCTGGGATAAATCTTTTTTACACTAGCATTACTGCCGATGTGTCAGGAATTCCTGAAGCTTAGTGCTAAGTTCATGCCAGGTTAGAATGTGAAGCCTGGGCTATGCCTCCTGTCACTCTTTTTTCCAGTGGACTCTTCAGTCTATAAGACACAATGCCATGGCCTCTGCATTGTTTTGGCAGCTGCTCTTCTAGAGTTTGTGTTTAGCTTAAAGGAGCAGAATGTTGTTGACAGTCTTCCACTCAAAATGCCATTTTCTGTGGGCAAGCAGTGAGACTTCAGCACCATGAACAGTTCCTCCTGGCTTCATTCATTCACTCATTTGGCTTTCCTTGTCCTTTATCTTAGCCCCTCTTGACTTATAAATAATGAAAAGGCCATTAAAGCAGAGATGCAGATATGTTATATCAGGATGAATAAGTCACCCAGAGTTGTTGGTTGTACACTTCCATCCAAGAGCCTGGGCAGTAAAATGACAAGGGTTACTCATTCTTAGTTATTAATAGGAGCAGTGACAAAATTATTATTCTACACAATCCCCACATGATTTATACTGTTGAAATGAAAAAAGGTTGAGGTAACCAAGGAGATAATTTTTTGTGTGAAAGTTTCTGAAGTCTTCTAAAATCTGTCTCTTCCTTCAGGGTTCTGTTTTGTGGCTCTCACAGCTGTCATGAAAATCCTAAGCATATTTCATAAGCCTAAAGTCTACCCAACTCTGAATTAAAGTATTAAAATCATTTAACCTGTGCCCTTAAAAAACAACAAAAAATTATGTACTCAAATTATTCCACATTCAGAATAGATCCTCTATAAATTGGCAGTGCTTAAATTGTGAACTCTTAATGTTAAGTGATGTAGCCTTTGGAGATACATGATGGCCAATCTAGTTACTGTCTGTTATTTTCAGCACTTTCCTTAGTCTCAATTTAAAAGTAAGAAATTACTATAAAGTCTATTTTTTTCTTTGTTTGTGTCCATACTGGATTGAATCAGGTCTCGTATCTGGATATCTTCCAAACCAGAACATCAGAAGTGTACTCTATATAGCAAATATTATAGTATTTGTAGTTATAATAATAATAATTATTTATGATAGCATAAAGTCTGCTAACCAAACCAATCTCTGGTTAGTTATAAAAGAATGATTTGCAAAACAAACAAATCAGTGGCCAAATCTTGTTGTGTAGTAACTCTGGTGTGACTCATAGTGGCAAAGTACCAATAATTACTGAGACCCTAGTTGGATACTTCATTGCCGTCTGGTGGCCAGCCTGGTGGCCCAATGTACAAACAGGAATCCAAGCAAGGACCTCTTAATTAGTGGCAAATTGCCACTGTGAGATATGCCATTCTCCTTTTGCAACTGTAACTGCTCAACTGGCTTCTACTTGTTTAATTTAAAATACACATTTCATTTTCAAAATTTATGACATTGCTTAATTTTGACACCTTAATCTATGGACAGGTAGAAACGAAGGGTGTTTAGGTTCTCAGATTGAAGTGTTCAAAGACTAACATATTTTGGAAAATGGTAAACTTTCTGAGTCATGATACTCCATGCATTTTCTTGCTTAATTTTGGACTCTTGCACCCATTTCCACAAATCTCCCCGTCTACCACCACCCCATGTATGTTCCATATTTTCATGTCAGATAATTCTCAGTCTCTACGGGTCAGCCTGTTGCATATTTTGAAATACTTTAACAAGCTTCATTGCATATGACCTCTGGAAAAGGGTTAAAGTAGAAAAAAAGAAGAATCTCCTAGAAAGAATACAAATGTCGCCTGTAGTTTTTATTCTGAAAATCTGTCACCAGGATGAATTTGAAACTTTCAGCATTTGAGTAGCAATGAAGTGCTTTAAGGCAGCTTTTGGAGAGAAGAATTGCCTTAGCTAACTTTTAATGCAAGGAGGCCCCTTCATTAAATGCTTAAGTTACTGATTAACAACTATGATGGCCTTATTTTTGTGTTTTAGTGGAAAGGCAGCAAAAGTGATGCAAACAAGAGGCACCAAATGGATGTTCTTCATGCATCATTAGATACGTGGTGTATGCGCGTGCGTGTGTACAAGAAGGCAGCACTGACTTTCATTTTGGTAGATATTTTTGCTTGTGGAGGTCATTGAGGGAAGAGAAACCTTAAATGCTTAAGAGAACTATGATGGGAAAGGACATTTTGTAAAAAAAAAAATTGGAGATGGTAGCAGATGTTGCTGTGATTTCTGCATAGTGCTTTAGATTGGATGGATGTCATGACAGGCCACTGGTTTTGCTGGTGTATATAATAATTTGCAACTTAGTGGTGCTACAGAGATACATTATACTGCTGTGCTTAGGTTATCTGTGATATAGATCTACTTTATGGCAAACCATGTCAGAAATCAGAATGTTGTTTTAGAATGTTCTTTCTCTTATAATGTCAAGGCCTTTTGCTTGTCCAGACCCTGGTTGGTGTGTGTTGAAGCAGTCAGGTTATACCTTATTAATTTTATTTTCATACTAACCTTTTCCAAATACTTGCCCCTTTTTTCTTTTTTACCTTATGCCTGAAGGCCATCTCCTTTAACTTTCTTCACATCTCTTCTCAAGACTCGCCATTTCTGCGAAGGCTTTTGGAGTGCTGAATTTCACTTCTTTAGCTAAGCATAAATGTGCATTACTGAAATAATAAGGAAAATAATGTGTGTATGCCCAATGCATTTTTTTTACTAATCTGATGTATCCAGAGGCAAAATTTTAGCACATTGTTCACCACCTTATTGCAGCACTTCACTTAGAACACATCACGTTAGATATCATATATGCTCACAGGAAGTTACTAGAATGGGAGAAATGAAGACTTTTCTGTTTTGATTGTTGCAAATCCCTTGTTAAAATGTCTCATGTTTTATAATTGATACTATTATTATCAGCTCTAGAGGAATCCATCATTTACATAACAAATAAAGAATGTGTATGGTTTGTTCTAAGAACTACTTCATAATTGCAAAGTGCTATGTTAGAATGAGAGTCCTGGACCCAAATTATTTGTGGTCTTTTAACAATTCAATCTTGTATAATTGACAGTTTTTGTTTTGCACAGTAATGGTGCTTTGTCAAATGAAGCAAAATAGAAAAATAAGAATCTTTTTTTTTGGGGGGGGGGAGAATCTGTTGTAAAAATCTTTGTGGTTTGTTTCTCTCTCTTTCTCTAGATGGTACAGAATTTCCAAGATGAATCTTGTTTTGTCATCTCTACATTAAAAGGTATAGTTACACACATTTCGTGCCATAAACATTTTCGGCAGAGTTTCTTCAAACAGAGTAAGAATGTTTTTTTTTAAGCCTTTAAAAAGACATCCATAAAATGCAAAAGAGAGGAACCATCAGCGTGGACCATTCTTGTGTGAAAAGTAGGTTACAGGCTGATTTGACCTTTCCTTCACAGGTTCATCTGTGAGGTGGCACTTCCTGAGCGTTTCATACTGGATAATACTCTGCTTTGAATACCAGGCATCTGGGCCATAGTTCTAAGAGCCTGAAGGCACAGAATACCAGATAGCCCTCAGGAAGCCTTTGTTTAAAAGCCCTAATCTTGCCAGTTAGTTACCTGTCTAGACTGTCCTCCTCTTTGAACAGAAATCATGTCCAGGTGTGGATGCATTTTGAAGAGGGCCTTATCAATATACAAACCTATCAGCTATATTAAGAAAAAGGATTGCTCTTGCAGTGTCTACAGATCTTTTCCATCTATAGAAAAGAGCCTTGTGGTTTCTTAAAGGCTAACAAGTTCTGTCTGATGTAAGCTTTTGTGGACTGCAACACACTTCCATCAGATGCATGCTGCATGAAGTAAATTAGTCCATAAATGCTTAGGCAAACAAACTCGTTAAGTTTAAGGTGCCACTAGACACCTTGTTTTTCCTACAAGGATCTGAAAATCCCTCCCTGGCATGACACTTTCCAGATGTGTTGGACTGTACTTCCCCAAAATCCTGCATGCTGGCCAGGAGATTCTGGGAGTTTTAGTCCAGCATAAGTGGTGGGTGTCAAGTTGGCAAATATTGCTCTAGGACTAGAATTCATATATGCATTTGGCTGAGCAAAGGCCCTCACTGGTTGAACCATACGTGTGCAGCAGATAGGAGAGGAACTGGAGAACAGCTTGAGAAAGCAAATGGGCAGAAGTCTTCCATGCGTTCATAACAGAATTCTGGCCATAGATGGATAAGATGTTTCCTTACTGGTGGTGGGAAGACACCAGGGCACTTTTGCTTCTGTGTTTATCATCACACAAACACACAGTGAATACAAACAGAATATTCATTGCTTTCGGGTGGCTGGAGTAAGCTTTTCATTTTTACTCTTGGAACGACAGTATGGGAGAGAACTGGATCATTAATACATAATTTGATTTGCTCATCATTCATTTAATGCTAAGAAATTCAACATGGGCATGTTACAGCCTGTTGTTACACAATCTGTGGAAAGTACAGTTGATGAAATTTATGGTAACTTACTAGGAGCCAAGGAGCTGAGAACAAACTAACCAAAGCTCTTTTCTCTTTCTTGCAGCTGAAAGTAATGATGGCTACCATATCATCCTGAAATGACTCATCTCTCTCTATAATGGGACTTGGACAGCTTTATATTACTTTATCTCGCCTACATTACTGTGACACAGACTGGAAAGACGGAAAATTCTTTTGGATAAAGTTCTCTTTTTAAATGGATATCCTAACAAGAAAATTAAAATGTCTGGATATTGGCATGTTGGGGACTAAAGAATGTCTTTAGCATTGATTGTTTTTATCTCTAACCTTCCTAACTTGCTTTCGAACATAGTAGTGATGTGGCAGTTCAGTTCGTTATTTAAAACTGTGTGCCTTGCTAAAATTGTTTTGATGTAAGCAAATGAAAAGGCACCTCTCCGAGATGACCAAGGAGGTAAAAGATCCTGGGAAACCTCCAGAGACGCACAGGCTGCGCCTCTGGACCTTGAAAGGTTGCACCTACTCCCACCTTCAGAACATTTTTTCTTCAAAAAGGCTTGTTGCTTTTAAAAGTCCTATTGTGCCTTCTAGTGGCCATTTTTTTAAAAAAAAAAAATTTGGAAGAGCAAGGGCAGCTAGGATTGCTAAGACCTGTAAAACAAGGGGATATGGTCTGCCCTGCCCTTTAGGGAACTTTCTTTCTTTTTTTTTTTTTAAAGTTTCGGTCCTTAAAGAAATTATTCAGGAGGAACTAGGATTCCCCAGTGGTATTGGGAGGTCACATACATAAGCCACGGGGAATACTCATTATCCCTGAGTTCAGGGTTAATACTGTAATCCTGGATATAGAGATGTTTTTCACTGGGCTTTTGCTGCTGTGATTTTTCTTTGTAGATGGTGTACAGTAGCCTGAAATCATGGGTTTTATAATTAATTTGTATTGGATGATTCTCTCTTGAAGCAAAATGTCCATCCTTTGTCATAGTGAGAGGATTTGTTCTTTTAACACTTTTTTGTGAGTTTGACAAAAACTAGGCAGATGACCAATTTCCGCCCCCCTCAGGTTTTTGTACTTATAATGAAGTACTCCAAATCTTCAACATGTAGTGCTTTGTAAATGTTTAAATATATGAATAATTGTCCCCTACATTTAATATTCCCTCCCCAAACAGATCTTCAAACGAAAACAGGACAAAACAGGGGGGCATTTTCTGCCCTCAACTAAGCTCTATCTCTAATGGTTGCTAGTTTATTTGCTTCACAAAACACAACATCTCTCATTGCAATCACCTGGAAAAGGTTAAAATAGTGGCTATAGTAGGAGAAAGTAGAGTGATGGGCAGGCCTTGTGTACTGTTCCATGTACATCCAAAGTTGCAGTTGCCCCATATAACTTGTTAAGAGATCTAACTTGGAAAAAAGAGTCTTGCTGCACATTTAGGTGTGGGTTGCTTGTAGCAAAGAGCTACCTGCACTTTCTGCAGGGAGCAAGCTTCACCTTTCTTCCACTTATGTAGATTAATTTATCAAAACCAGCCTTGACACATTGATCCTGTTTAATTTCAGAAGACAAAAAGGGTCCAGCCTGGTTGGTACTTAGTTGGTAGACAATCAGGGGATATGGGGAGCTCTGAGTAGTGTGGGAAGGGACTCCTGCCTGAAATGCTGGATTCTGGCTGCTGGTCAGAGTTGACATTGCTGGGCAAGAGGGACCAGTAATCTGACTTTGTACAAGATGGCTTCCTGTGTGTTCCCCAGAGCTGTGGTTTCCTTACTTTTATAAACACAAATGGCTCCCTTCATGTATTTAACGGAAAGTTACAGGGTTTGGTGAGGGAACATCCTTTCTGTGAGTTGGATGTCTATTGTAGTTATGGGTAGAAGTCTTACTCTTTTTCTCCCATCACTCTTTTGCTGTGTTCACACTTTTGCCTCACAAGATCTTAAGACATTACAGTAGTTGTTGATGAAGGATGTGAGGAGAGACTTTTGCCCAATGTTGGAAATGTGTGTACCTTGTGGTACACAAACTAATAGGGGTTTCTGTTTCCATTTATATATTGGATATTCTTTTGAAAGAAACAATGACACCTCTTCCTGCTACCTCTTGTTCTTTTTAGTATTTACATTATAAACATTTGTGCAGAGGACAAACACCAGAGACACTGGGTATCCTAACTTGAAAGCCAATATCACACAAACTTAGAGGCTGTAAAGCTGTCATTATTATTGCTAAAATAATGTTTTTCCACCTCATAGATTGTCATAAGAAAAAGTAGAACTGAAGAGATAATATATTTTTATTAAATATATTTTCCCTCTCCCCCCCCCAAGTGGTTTTATTTCATTCACTAAATGGTGCAGACAGTAAAAGACAAGTGATGAGCTAAAACATTCGGAAATAAATGCTTTGGGTGAGTGCTCTGATAGGTCTTAGCCCTTCTCTAATCTTGCTGTTGGATTAGAGATGGATTTTGCCCATTTTCCCCTCTAATCTAATGTACCCACATATCCTCTTAAGTAAGTCTCATACTTCTGTTGGGCCTCACAAGACATAAAAAAAATCTTTTTTACACTCAGACATTGGAAAGGCAGGCATTTTAAAAGTCAGGATGTCATCTGTGACAAAGTAATTTTGCTATGCTAACCTGTGTGCCTTCTGATAATAATACTTTTGTGCCTCTATTTTACCAGTGAACATATTGTAAACTGTATGAAATCTTTGTGTCAAAATATTTTCTTTTACCTATGTTAAATATAATACTAATCTGGACAGATGCAATGCAGAGTTGCATTGATGTGTATAGGAGCTGGACACTTAAACCCTGATCCAGTGAGTGCAGTAGGTATACAGAAGCAGGCTTCTGTGCAAAAATTCTCTGCTGGATCAGGAACTGTGCAGGTACTGAAGAAGTGCACATTTACCTCCCATTGCTGGGTGCCCACCTCCAGCAGCTGGGGCTTTCTTTGTAGTGCTCTTCACTGGATTTGGGTTGTGTGCACAGTGCCCAATGGATGACTAATGCGCTGGTGAGTTGATGAACTCTACGCTGCTACTTTGGATTCCAGCATTTCGTTAGTATCTGTTAGGTAGGTGCACATAGCCAGAGCTTTGTGTGCAACTCATGCACCGGCCTTATTAGGTTGGATCCTTGGTGTGTATCTTGTTCCCGTTACCTGGCTCTTCAGGATGAAAAGATGCATCAAAACCTTGGTTCCTCAAGCAGCTGAAATAAGTACAGATATCATTGAGAAGAATAATCATAGTTCAGAATTCACATTTAGCACATTTGTAACTGCTTGAATGTATTGCATTTTGCTGAAATATAAATGTTCTTTTGGTAAAGATAATTCTGGCTTGTTACTCTTCAAAAAAAAAAGTTCCAGATTGTAGACTTTTTTAAAAATGCATTTTGTGGTGGGGGGAGTCTGGAGAAAGCTTGGCATTTTAGCTTAAGTGCTAAACTTTCTGTGTTGGAATTAAAATATTTCTTTTTTAACTTTTTCTCTCATCTACATCCATTAAGCTTGACTTTTCTTAGTCCTCCAAAGGAGGATGACAAAAAGTATATTAGGTAGTGTTGTCATTAGTGCTTCAGTTACCTCAAGAGACAGATAGAATGACGTTGCCAGCATGCCACTATTCTATTCACAAGCACTGCAATCTGGGAGAAAATGTGTGAACCTATTATTGTGGCTGAAGTCTTCAGTGTGCTCAAGAATAGTGATGTAATAATAGTCTATGCTGGTGTCTCAGGAAAGGCAGCTTTAATTTTAGTGCCTAACTCTTGATGCATGTTGAATATATATTCTGTATGTTTAGTTTTGCACCTGTCTTTGTCTTATGCAATGCTCTTCCCCCCTCTTTTCCCCCCAATGTTTTAATTTCTTCTGGTAATTGGGGTAGGTATTTCTATCTTTCAGAAGGGCTGTGGGAGCTTATCTTTATATAATGCAACAGCCAGTTAATTTGTGACTTAAATGAACAATGAATGGAAAGGGAGGCCAAGCGTAAGAGTTGTAATACTGCCAGACATTTTCGTATACATAGATATATATATATAGAAAGAATTTTTTTAAATGCATATTTTGCACTGGCCATTCTACTGTTGTACTGAAGAAAAGACACTGCTGTATTTAGACTCTGTGCTCTGGTAAAAATGCAAATAAATTTGTTTATAGGAAACACTTTTATGTTTTGAAGTACATGTATTCTCTTTTTCAGCTATAAAAGGATGCAGATGGTTATTAGTGCATCCTGCTTGGCTTTAATTCTAACATCAGAAACTGGGGGGGGGGGGGCAGGTGGAATGTCTGTAATGGTAGAAAAGGAGAGAAAGCATATCTTACATGATGTAGTTGGAGAAAAGATTAAAGGGGCTTGGGATAGCAAGATGAGAAGGAGGAGGATTTTTAATGGGTTTAATTACATTTCAGGAGAGATTATCCTGACATGGTGGTTTATATGACAGTCAATAGAACAACATAGTAATGTCACAAAGGCAGCAATAAAAATACAATGACTGCTAACGAAGTGATAAATCAGGTAAAAATGAAGTTATCAAATAACACAAAATTAAGTGTAAAAATAATTTGAAAACCGCCTGAATGAAAAGTCCCCATCTGAAAACAAAAAAAGGAGGAGGCCAAATGCATTTTTTCTGGAAAGACTATTTTAAAGGTTGGGTAGGAAATGATATGAAGATGCAAAAAGACACCTTTGGTGATACTGCAAGTAGTCTATGATAAAGTACAGAAAAGAAATGGGTGTTTTTAAATTGAGTGTTTTAGTTTTAACCTATATTTTGTTTTTTAATCACAAAGTCCTTTTCTATTGTTGTCATGCTTATGTGGTCCTTGAGGTAAAATGTATAAATGACTGTTTCTGCCACAGTTTAATAGATACCGCTCTGGTTCTGAAATACTATTTACAGAGATAGTGAAGTAGAAATCATTGCTGTCAAATGAAATACACACTAAAGATGCCCAGTTCTTTTCCCCCTCTCTCTAGAATTGAGCTTTTATTTGTATAGTTAAAGGGAACATGTTAGTTATATTTTAGCAGGGGTACTATCTTTCCAGAATATTTCAGGAGCAAAGTACAGTGGTGCCTCGCAAGACGATTTTAATTCATTCTGTGAAAATCGTCTTGTGAGGTTCCCTATGCATCGGTCTTTTAAAAAAAAGTCTTGCGAAGCATCGGTCTTAAAAAAAAAAGTCTTGCGAAGCACGGTCATAGAGTCATAGAAAAACGTCTTGCGAGGCACCATAGTGATTGCAAAAACCAATTGTCTTGCGGGTTTTTCGTCCTGCGAGGAAATCGTCTAGCGAGGCACCACTTGTGTTGTGTCACAAAACAACACAATTTCTCCCAATAACAGCATTTTTAAAGTATAAAAATGAATGTGACCTCAGTAAGATAGTAACAAAATTTGTGTGATTGTGACATGACTAATGAAGGAAAGGAGCCCATTTATGATTCACAAAAAATCAAACCAAATCAAAAGAAAATAAATTCTTGCATGCCTGTCCAGTACGCGCTACCTCTCCTGTTCCTTGCAATGCTGCTGTATTTCTCCTTTAGTGATTTTATGTTCCCCTTGACATTTCTCAAGGTTGCCCAACAAGAAGTGCTAGCACTTTGAGACGAAAGAGGTTATACAAAAATGTTTACTGACTTTTAATGTATTTGAAATCCTCATTAAGCAAGAACCAAGTACTTCAGATTAAGAGGGGATCAATGGAGAAAACCTCTGCTGTATCTTCAATATCAGATTCAGATGGCTGAAGGAAGTACCTAAAATCGACTTGTTGCTTCCAAAATGAGAGAGATGTAAGGTTCAGGAGAGGTTAGGTAAAACACTTCATATTCACTGCCATTTGTTGTTTAACCTGCTTCCAGGTTTTCCTTTTATTCCATTAAGGCCCTTTTAAATACTGGACTTAGATCCCATACAGGTGAAGCAGAATACAAAGGAGGTTTTATGTGACAGATGTGAAGATAACAAAGTTTGATTGTTGAAGACAGAGGAGCCAATCCTGAGCAGCATTTGGATAGGAGACCACCTGGGGGAGCCATATATAAGTTGATCAAAGCTTGTCAAAAGAAGAGCTGGCTAGGTATTAACAGGATCAAATAATAGTACACAGTGTGTATTTGCTCGCTATAAAATAACTCAAGTCCTATATATTCTAAAATAAAATCCAACTATTTCTGCAGTACCTCAGATATTTGTTGGACTACAAATCCCTGCATTCTTTACTATAGGCTATGTTAGCTAGGACTGAGGAATGTCCAAGTATATCCAGAGCAATGTACTTCACTAAATCCTGTTCTAAGGGGAGCAGTGATGTCTTTACTTTCTGTCAAGTAAGAGAAGTCATGGAAACATTTGCCACATTTACAAATATGCACACAGAGACCACGTAACACTTCCATGTGAGCTATGTGGCCAACCTACATGAGAGCTGTGGGGAAGAGCCCTACATGTCTCCTCCTCATTTTATTTGAATAACATGAAAAGCTCCCCAGCAGTCAGACTTGTGTGTTGTATTATCTCTCACTCATGAAACATTAAATGATTTTCATGCTGTCTTAACAGGCAAATGGCCTATTAAAGATAAATTCAAAGGCTTGCCAAATTCTCTGTGGTAGAAAACTGAAGAAAAATATATTAGAAATTGGCCTGAAGCTGATGACTATAAATGGATTAAGGCTGGCCATGTAAAAAAAGAAACATTAAAGAAGGAAAAGAAAAGCTCAAGTTAGAATGACTTAGGCAAAGCTTTCCACTACTCTGCTTTCAGCCCTCATAACAAGCCAACTTGCTTTTAAAATGGATTTTCCACCTTATAATAGAACAATGTGGCTTTTTCCATTTAGGATCAAATAACATAATGCCATTTTTACAGTACAGAAACCTTTATTGGCATGCTGCATAAATAAAACGATAAAACAATAAAATACCGGGGAAAGATTCATTACTGGGGGGAGGAGGAACCAGAACATCAAAGTTGGAGCCCCTCGTTTTAGGGGAACATGTTGTGGCGTCTCTGGATAATGGCCTGGACGTATCTGGCGGTTGATAGAGTGACTTCCTTGCTAAGGTCACCTAGAAGGTATTGTATTTTCCTCAGGTCTGCCCATCCGGAATGAAGGGGGAGAAAGACCATCTGATGTGACAGGCGGATATCCTTGTAGAGTGTACAATAAAATAGCATGTGCCTTTGAATGCCATTTTTAAGACATGCAAAGGCACCCACGTTGGCTTTGAATAAAGGTACTTGACATCATATTTTGGTCAAAAACATCACATACAGTTAGGTTTCTCTCTCAGTAGGAGTCATAGTTAGGGTGACTTGTTTATAGCAATTATTTCCTCAGGGTATATAGCCTGCCTGTAACATGTTCCTAGATGTAATGACTATATTTTTCAATATAGAACATGTGGAACATATATGTATGTGCATGTGTATGCTGTTCAAAAAGCCGTTCCATAACGTCAAAATAACGTGTAGAATGAATTCTTTTAAGAATACATTGTCCATCTGTTTGTCCGTCTGTCTGTCTATGGAATTGCAAACTACTACTGAATACTATATACCTATAAAACCCTGGAAAGGACAGTCATAAATTGGAATTGACTTGACAACACTGAATTATGGTTGTTAACATAGGTTTGGCTGAGAGGTACCGATTGGTCCAAGGGCACCTACTTAGCTTTTCTGACTAAGCTAGGATTTGAACTTAGCTCTCCTTGTTCTGTATTCAACAATATATTTTTTGCTGTTCAAAAAGCCATTCCATACTGCCAAAACAACATGTAGAAATTAGTTCTTTTAAGAGGACATTATCATTTTTTTTTGCAATTGTGTGAAATATTTTCTCAGAAATTTAAGATTCAAAGGATTCAGAGAATAACAATTAGCAGAAGCTTCTAATAATTCATCCTACACTTTGTTTCTTGTTCTTACCAACTCATCCTTTCCTCAGGGTAGCACTTGTTTAAGTTCTCAGAAATATAGGAAAGGTAAAATGAAACATTGTTTTTCTAGAATCCTGCTAAGATATATAATATCAGATTTTCTACAAGTTTATTTTTTGAGTTTAAGCTTCCATAATCTCCCAGCCAGCATTTGTCCTACAGCTACCGTGTTTTCCCAAAAATAAGACAGAGTCTTGTATTAATTTTTGCTCCAAAAACGCATTAAGGCTTATTTTCATGGAATTTAATTTTTTTTCATGTACAACAATCTACATTTATTCAAAAACAGCCATGTTATATTCTGTTTGATGTACAGTGGTGGAGGGCAGGGTTTCACTTAACTGGGGCTTATTTTTGGGGTAGGGCTTATATTACAAGCATCCTGAAAAATCCTC